GAGTTTGGTTACTAAAGTGTTCATAGAAAACTGTAACTGTTTTTAAATAGAATTGTTGAGTTTGGTTACTAAAGTGTTCATAGAAAACTGTAACTGTTTTTAAATAGAATTGTTGAGTTTGGTTACTAAAGTGTTCATAGACAACTGTAACTTTGTGAAGCCCAGCGCTAGTTAGTTAATTTACTTATGATTCTTGTTATTCAGGTTTACAGCTTAAAATAAATAAATGACAGTTATATTTTGAGGAATATTAACATATTTAAGTGATTAAACTGTGAAAAAAGTTCATTCTATATGTAACTTCAAGACAGCGACAAGAGTTCATGTTGTGCTAACATTCGTTGTTACACAGACACCAAACCAATACTTCAATATACCTTAATGCAGAATTTTTTGGGTGTGATGTTTGACCTCAATATGTATTATATTGTCCTATAAGCTTTTCCTTTAAGTACATTAAACAACAGTATGTCTGTGCATGTTTTCTACATCATTTCCCGTTATATTATGTTGTGTTTTCCTTCCAGCTTAATCAGCACCTCAAGAGGTTCTTCATCCTCCTCAAGACTTCTGCAAAGCAAAACGAAGGAGCAGATCTTTATTGTTGTAGGGAAAATATCAATAATTGATTCCTTTTGTCATTATACGTAGTGGTTTGTTATGAAAATGTATTGTTGAAACTAGAAATATTGTTTTAAAGTATTAATGTAAGAACAATGTTTTACATGACCTTAATATGTTTTGTTTGTTTGTTTCTGCTCTATTGTCACTGTGCTTTAAGGGAAAGAAATAAATACACTAAAACCAATATGCCTTGTTTTGTTTAAATTGTCGAATAACTATGTGAATATAATAAAACTAATATCTAATGTGGTTTGGTTTCTGATGCCTCAAGTGTTATTTTGTTTCACGAGAACTAAGACTATTTAGTTGCTACTTGGAGGAAAGCGTAGTTTTGATATTTAATGTTTTTTCTTTATAAAAAATATCTAATGTTGGAAGAACTCTAACAAAAATTCAAAAAGTTACAGACTGTATCACAGTTTGCTGATATGTTAACTTTAAATTTGCTGAAGGTATTTTCAACGTAAGTTGCAGAAATATGTTTAATTCACCTTGTCATAAGACAGTTACAGAAACGTTAGTTTTAAAAAATTTTGTAAACTTAAGTAAAGATTCTGAAATCGGATACTCTTCGTCGATTTTTTTTTTCGTTTGCTGAACGTTCTGCACGATATCAGTAACATTTAGAAACTTTTATTGCTATAGCAGTGGTGCTTTTAGAGAATTGAAATAAACCACACAGATATTTTTATTATTTGATAAACGGTTAAAGATTGAAAAAAAATTGAAGCACGCATCTTGAAACATTTGCTGTTTGGTTCAGGAATTTGAAGGAAAGAAGTTTTTCTTTGCTATGAAAATGTTGTATGCTGCAAACAAACATTTAACTAATAATAAAGCTGTACTTAATATATATTTAAACATAAGTCCGTCTTTATGTAAACAAAGAATCGTGTGAAGGTCATTTGGTTGTTTATGTTTATTGGAGCGATGATAAAAACTCTCCAAGCATGTAGTTTGGGCTTTGTTTATTTGTTCAATGTTGTGTTTTGTTTTCAACAAACGTAACTTATTTCCTAGCCACAAGTCGCATTGTTACTGTATGCTTAATTATGGAGACATAATTTTAGAGTAGTAAAATACTGCTTACTTCTCATTGGTCTATTCTTCCGTGACGAAACACAGAAGTCCATCTGAATGTCATGCAAAACGCTTGCATACATATAGTCCTAAGCCTCTTGAGGTAGGATGTTTTTAAATACTTATACACACATTTGACAGTTTTAAGATTAATTAAAACGTTGAAATTGATGACTCTTGAGTATAAGAAGTGACGTATATTGCAAGACTGACCCCTATCACGTACAATGTATTTCAAGAAGTTAATGACAGGTTAAAATACGTGTAGGTTAATTACATTTCTTGTTGCTTAGTGCCAGTCACTTTTTTTTCATCGGTGTGATCAGTCTAGTCGATGCCCATCAATATGGCTGCCAGCAGCCTGTTTATATCAATGACGCCATTTTACTCCTTTGTCCTCCCGATTGAAAATCCATTTCTTCAAGGTAAGTGTTATATATATATATAGGTATTTTAGTCAGAAAAGAACACCTAAATTGTATGTTTCTTACAAACAAACGTTGATGGTTCATATATGTATATCATGTACGTTCCATTTTTATTATATGGTTCTTTTCTACGTTGTTAAAAGTTAGCAATGCTTAAGCTAGCATACAGCCTGAAATGTTAAAGGAACTGAAAACAAATAGCTTGAAATGTTATAGAGGGAACTGAAAACAACATTTCTACAATTGTACATTTAACCAAACAATTGCTTTAACCATAGAATATGAAACAAAACAATTTCACAAGAATTAGAAAATAATACCATATTTCTGTTTTAGAACAGTCTTTACACTAAACACCACTTCACACTACATTTAAACAGTTGGAGAGCTCAAACTTAAATTTCAGCAAAAGACTTTGAAATCTAAGAAAGTACGTATTATTGCTCTTAATTTGCTAGAAACAAGGGGAAAACGTTGAAGATAAAATTTGTTCTTTGTAAATAAAATTTCTACTTATTAATTAGTAAATTATCACAACTTCTGACTAAAAGTAGCCAACAAATGTATAGATCAGAATTAAAAATTGAATAAAGAAATTAATGAACCAACCCTGTAGGATAAACTGGCTAGAAGTACATAACCTGGTTAAAAACACAACTGAAACCTATAGAATTAAACCACATGTAATCCTCAGATGGTTACTCTCGTTACTAACGAAACTTCCCATACTTCAAATCAAGTTGAATTTGTTGTCAGTTTCTCGATTCCTTGTTAAAAACATTTCTTCCATCTTAGTGCACGTGCAGATAGTAAATATATATTTATGATAATTATCGTCGACAACACAGTGAAATTTGATACAAATCCTTATTAATTATAGACTCTGCCAATAATACCGCCACTGACGCAAACGTATCTGCCGAGTTACCAAAGACGTCCATGTATTTCTTTTTTATGGAACACGTGTTCTTTTAAACGTATTAATTATGTATGTTTGAAATAAATACGCACTGGTATGAAGTGAAACTTCCGCGTACGTTATTTAACATACCTATTCAGAATATTTTAAGTTGAACCATAGGATAAAACCTTGCCTAACGTTTACAGTGTGTTTTACATACACTACGCTTTGTGACGAAACCTTCTCAGTAGTATTTGAAATATAGTAAAGCAACATCGCTTGGGCCTCACCTATCAAAGATGGAATCTTCGTATGATTTAGATATAATTCGTTTCTATCTTTCTACCTATTTCTAAACGATGAATCGCTGCTTTTTATGTTTATATTATCTGCGTTTTTGTGTGTATATACAAAGAGAGAGAGAGAGAGAGAGATGTTTAGATACCAAAACGAAACGGTTATCGTTGTTTAGATACCAAAACAAAACGGTTATCGTATAGATTTATAAACAATTAGACGATGTATCTCGGATATCTACCTGTTTTATAATACAGGTGCTTAACAGAGATAAACCATGATTTGTTAAACTCTACAAACTTTATAGAAGCAGCAATGCCATGGTTCTCGATTTATGTCACATAATATGTAATTCTCCGGTTTGAAATTACATTTTAAGTTGGAACTTATGATTGCGTCAGTTGTTAGAAGTAAAACACTAAAAGTCCCGTATGTAACATGCTAAACATAAAAGCAATCCTATAACAAGTACCAAGTTCATTTAAGTAAATGAAATATGATATCGGGATATATCTTTTTTTTTAATTTAATGTAATTTAATGCAGCAATTCCAATTTTTCCAAATATTGCGTAAAAATTGTTTAGATAACACCCAATTTTTCTTTAAAATAAATATTTTGATGTTTAATTATTTGTAGACACCTTCCCTCTGATCTGTTAGTTCAAAATTAAGAACCACTATACATAGGTAGTCCTTGTGTAGCCTTGCAAAAAAATTCTAAAACAAACAAGTTGCACACGAAACTCTTAACAAAAGGTTAACATGTTTATTATAACATCAAGTTCAATTTTATGACATTTTTGAGGAACAATTTAAGGTGAAGAAACATTCAAACCTCTCCTTCGTTGTTTAGAAACGCGTTGTCTTCCATATCGACTCTATATTACCCGATGTTTTGTATTATTGTCTTACATATTGACTCTATATTACTTGATGTTTTGTATTATTGTATTTCATATTGACTCTATATTACCCGATGTTTTGTATTATTGTCTTACATATTGACTCTATATTACCCGATGTTTTGTATTACTGTCTTACATATTGACTCTATATTACCCGATGTTTTGTATTACTGTCTTACATATTGACTCTATATTACCCGATGTTTTGTATTATAGTCTTACATATTGACTCTATATTACCCGATGTTTTGTATTATAGTCTTACATATTGACTCTATATTACCCGATGTTTTGTATTATTGTATTTCATATTGACTCTATATTACTTTATGTTTTGTATTATTGTCTTACATATTGACTCTA